CCAAAGATCAAACCCAAAAGAATCAAAAAAAGAAGAGTCGAACCCCTGAGAGATGACATTTCTGATGTTTCCGACACTTCTGGCAGTTCCAGCAGTTCTCAAGAGTCTCTGGAATAAAGACTATAAAGACTGAAGATATTTGTCAAACAAATTCAAATTGCTTTCAACTTTTCTCAATTGTTTTGTTTGAACTCAAAAACACGAATTAAAATATATTCACAAATGTTGTACAAAACTATTCAATATTTAATTAAATTATTAACTCATAACTTGTTATAACAAAACAGTCATTAATAATGACTCATTAATTCCCGGTTTAGTATAATTTTTGAGTTTTTCGTTAAGTTATAATTCAAAAGTTTTCAGTTAAAAATAGATTCATTTAACTCTTAAAAGTATCACAAATATAAATTTTTATTGATTAAAATTACATCAAACTAATTTGTAAATTTATTAGAATATCCAACAATTTTATAACCATATAATAAATTATAATAAAATATAAAAAGAAAACATAATTTACGGATATATTGTATAAATTGTAAAAAATCTATTATTCAATAAAAATAATATTTGTTTTACAATTGCATTGTGAGAACAGATTACTACAGACATTGAGTGCACAGTTTCATCACACGTTCATAATTTGTGGTGCAATCAATGTTTGCAAAAAATAATTCATAAAAAACAAAATAATAATATAATCTATATTTCAGTTTATATTCCAATCGGTTGTTGACCACAGAATAGAGTGAAGACCTCTTTGTGTAATGGATTTGTTTTTATCTAAACTAATAAAAAATAATTCATAAAAAACAAAATAATAATATAATCTATATTTCAGTTTATATTCCAATCGGTTGTTGACCACAGAATAGAGTGAAGACCTCTTTGTGTAATGGATTTGTTTTTATCTAAACTAAGGAATCGACTCAATAGACATCGATATCCTCTACCGATTGTAGCGATCATTTCTTTGCCGTCAGTTTTCTCGCTTAAAAACTCGTTGGAAGCGGTCGTACAGACGTCGCGTTTCATTGGCTTAAAGCTAATGATAGCCTTGACCTCCTCGTCGTACGGCCGAAACACAGTGATGGGTCTCATAGTCTTGCCCTCCACTATAATAACACAGCCAAATGTAGTGCCGATATAGAGCTCACACCTCTCCTCTAATACAGTCAATGCCGTCACTCGACAACTGCCCGCTATTTCAAAAGCACATGAAATCATTACACGTCTAAGAATTGGTTATAATCATCACATTTCGAGACTTACGACTCAAATGATCTTCAATACTGATGGACATTAAGCTCTCAGAACAGGGCGCCAGCTTTGAACAGTCCAATCGGGACAGGATTCGCCTGGCGTTCACATCCCACTGCCATATTATGCAACCTGCAATCACAATTTCACCATTTAGTCAATAAAACAAATTCACGTTCAATTCAATGAATATGAATACCGGGGTATAAATACGTCCAAACGTATGGATAGAGCGCTTCAATCATGAAGACATCAAATCGTTCGCTGATTGGCGTTCGGAAGTCAGTGCTGTCGTCGTCGTAATGGCTAACAATGTGTTGGGATTTAATGAGAGTCTCTGATAGAGTAATAATAGCAACGTTGCCCTCAGACTGTCCGCACCAAAGCTCGCAATTACTGGGATCGCTGTTTTGAGCGCTTATATCAACGTTTACAACACATAAGAACGCGATTCCGTTGTTTCCAATCTCTTTGAAACTGTGATCATTGGTACTACACATCCATAAACGACCGCTACTGCTAGAAATGGCCACTTGTTTGATGGCACTCACGTAACACATACAATGAATAGCGGTGGGAGTGTTGTCCTCCAGTTCTAACTCAATACAAGAGATTGTCTCAAATGTTTTGACACAATAAATATGAATCGCTGCCTTCGAATCGCCGAACCAGATCTCATTGTCGACAAGACATACGCTCATTACAGTCACGTTATTCAATGGAGTGATTGTCTCGTAATTAGTCCAACAAAAGTCATTACAAGTTATCAGATCTGTTTGTTTACCAATTCTGGAGAGAATTAGTCGCAAAGAATTGTCACAAGTGTTGACTCCTTTAGCGCATAAAACGGCA